CCCCCGTCACCCTCACCCGGGCCGGGGACACGGAGGCGCCCCCAGGAAGGCCCGGGGCGAGTCTGCGGGGTGACTGCTTCAAACGCACCCCTCAGAGTCCCGCCCGAGGGGCCGGCCTTGGACAAGAAAGACTCAGGGATGGTGAGCGCACTTCATCTAGTGACGTGACTGCTCTTTAGAAACAGCTTTAAAAAACCTTTTGGCCCCGCTTGGGCAGCTCAGTTGGTTAGAGCATCGTCCCAATACGCCAAGGTTGAGGGTTCAATCCCGGTCGGGCACCTACAAGAATCGACCAGTGATGCAGGAATAAGTGCAACAGCAAGTGGATGTTTCTCTCTCCCGCCCTCTCTTCCTTCCTCTCTCTCTAAAATCAATAAAAATAAAAATTAAAAATAAATCTTTTGGAATTAAAAAGAGTAATATAATCGTTTTATTGAAACGGGAGCATTTATAATACATTAGAAATGATAACCTTTGCAACTATTTACATTAAGATGAAAAATATTAGAAAATTTGGAGTGTGGAAGGGGTACGTGATTTTTTGAGTTTCTTTTAGGAGGTTTTTTGTTTGTGTTTTAAATATATTTTTATTGATTTCAGAGAGAGGCTGGGAGAGGGAGAGAGAGAGACATCAGTGATGGGAGAGTCATTGATGGGGCACCTCCTGCAGGCCCCCTGCTGGGGATCAAGCATGTGCCCTGACTGGGAATTGAACCGAAACCTCCTGGATTATAGGCTGATGCTCAACCACTGAGCCACGCCAGCTGGGCACTTACAGGGGGTTAAAGATGTTTCCGATCCTAATTACGATGTGGGGCATAGATAGGAAGAGGCAGGGCTGGGGTGGGGACCAGATCAGTGGCTGACAGCCAACATTACGGAGGGTTGGGAGGGTAGAGGGTAGGTTGAGGGGTGAGGTAGAAATGAGAGTCACTGTGGAAGGGGTGGGTGACCGGGAGAGGAGGAGCCCCTCATGTCCTAGCGCCAGTAACCCTCAGAGGAAGGGTTCACAGGCCTCCTCTCCCCATCCAGCAATGGGAAGCCTCTGGAAGGGAGATGTACTGGGGAAGTTTTTCTTTTTCCCAAAGACCACCAGTGAGGCTGACCTCCAGGACGGCTGCCTGGAGAGGCCACCCCACTAGCTCCTTCACAAGCTGAGAGGTCACCTGACAGAGGGGCTCTCAGCCCATTAGAGGAGGTTAGGGGCTTTGCAATCTAATCGATATGAGAAACTCTTCCTTCTATAGTTTCTTAGAGCCATGTTGCATACTGTTTGTTGTATATGAACATATTAAAGGCTCTGATAAGTTCTGCAACAGAACCTGTTTGATTTAACCCAGCATTGCTTAAACTTGTTCTTGTTGTTTGTTTAGGCCTTCCACCCACAAACCCTTAACATAACAATAGAATACATTTTGTTTGGGGAAATGTCAAATTAGTTCATTTAATCCTCAAAACATGCGCTGAAAGTCAGGAGTCATTTTTTGTTTTCAAAATCTGAGGCTCAGAGAGGTAAAGTAACAGACCTGGTACTATAACCCAGGTGCCCTCACTTAGCCCAATAATTCCCTAGTTAACTAGGATTGACTTGTCAGGGGTGAAGGCTGCTGGATTTAGGGAATTTCTCAAGCTAAATTCTGAGACCAAGGGGTGGGGACAGAGGAAGCAGCAGAGGGGCTTGATGGCTAAAGGGCCGGAGCAGTGGGCCCTGGAACAGTGAGCCTGGGAATCAGGACCCGAATGTTGGGACGGGGTGAGGGTTTGGGGAGGATGGGAGAAGGGCAGGGACTAAGGGGAGTGGGGCTGGGGACAGTAA